CTGTAATGGGTCCTCATCCAAAGCACCGGCTGCCTAGACGCGACATCCTTCCTCGATGCACGCATCTGGTTCACAACATCGTGGATCTCTGGAAGAATGGATCTCTAGAATGGATCTCTCGAATGGATCTCTAGAGCTATTGATTGAGTGTACACTCGGAGCATTATCCGCGTTGATAACTTGCAAAGACGAAACTCCGACTTCTTTGTAGATTCGAAGGACTGGTCACCCACGGATGAATACGCAGCAGACCACCGACATGGGCGCGAATCGTGAATCGAGGATGTCACTGATTCACTGTACTCGGTGACGCATCATCAGTCATCCATCAGTTAGCTTTCACTCGCTTACTGACGATGGATGACAAACACGTCTGTACGAGAACTACCAGAAATGTGCTTGGAAGACTGAGTCGTTCGTATCGTCAACGGATGAGGGCAACCGCAGTCATTGTCAGTACTCACAACGCAATTCGCTTCCAACCGAGATAACTGAGTACCTTCCCTTCGAGCTGCACGCACACCAATCGCATTCACTCCGAGACCATGAAATGCACCACCTTTCTCGTCGCTGCCATCGCGTTGCTCGGTGTCGTCACTTCAGCCGACCAACCTGTCGTGAAAACGTCCGCGGAGGCGCTAGAGAAGGTCCAGGCATCCGCTTTACCAGCTGGCGTCACACTGACCGGAACAACGGAGAAGATCGACCCACCTGCTTCAGCTGCTGCGGTTGCCACCAAGGAAGCCGACGTCCGTGAGAGCAAGCATGTTGGCAAGAACAACATGGATGAGAAAGAAGACGATGACGACAAGAAGGAGTTCTTTGGTGGAGGCCTCGGTGGTTGGGGCGGCCTCGGTGGTTGGGGCAATTGGGGCGGCTGGGGCGGCTACGGATCCTACCGCTTCGGCTTTATGTACGGCGGGATCGGCGGCTGGGCGTACCCGTTGGGTTACTGGAACACATTTGGTTCGGGTCTATTCGGTGGTGGATGCGGCCTCGGCATTCCTTTTGGCGGTCTTTATTACTGCTAAGTTATCGTCGATAGTAGCTGCACGTCACAGGAACTTGCTCGTCACGCTGGATGCTAATCGTGCAGTCAAGTCGGATCCGAGTACTTCGTGTCGCTACTTGTTGCAGCTGTTTCGTAGTTAACGATCGCACAAAAATGATGCAAGCAACGGTGCCAAAATGATGAAGCTTCAGTGCCAAAATAATGCAAGCAACAGTGTGCCAACACCGTCACTTCTTTTTCTTTCCCCCCACAATCCGCTTCTTTTTAGTTGCCACCACAATCCCTGACTGCTTGGCGTTTAGCACGATCATCCCTGACTCCTTGAAGTTGTTTGGCATGACAACAAGAGAACGAACAAATTCACTGGCGCTGCCATCGATACCACACATCGTATGCTTCACAGCATCGAAGCGCTCGGTAGCGTAGGGTCAATCCGGTGACCTGGGGCCTTGGGTCAAAGACTTGTATGCATTAACGGACTATCTTTGTTGTCATGGTCTGATAATTACAAAACCGAACCGTGACATGTGGAGTGAGCTTGCGCTGTCTTGAGTGCGATGTAAATTGAGAGGATCCTTGAAAACTTGTAAGATCGCAACGTCAGATTTGAAGATGAAATGGACGAGTGCTGGCGTACCTACCTCACCTTACAAGGCACAGCTCTTAAAGAGGCCTCGGATTATACGTGTCGAAACCCAGCACGTGGCCTATTGACGACAAAGGTTGTGTTTGGCAATACTCAAGACTGGTCTCGTTCGGACGCTGGGGAGGGATGAATGTAAGGATGAACGTACAAGATCGATCGAACATACACTACGCCAACTACACAGCATCCATGTATGGAATAATGTGCGAGGCTTTGGATCACCTGTAATGAGTCCTCATCCAAAGCACCGGCTGCCTAGACGCGACATCATTCCTCGATGCACGCATCTGGTTCACAAAATCATGAATCTCTGGAAGAATGGATCTCTAGAATGGATTTCTTGAATGGATCTCTGGAGCTATTGAATGCACACTCGGAGCATTATCCGCGTTGATAACTTGCAAAGACGAAACTCCGACTTCTTTGTAGATTCGAAGGACTGGTCACCCACGGATGAATACGCAGCAGACCACCGACATGGGCGCGAATCGTGAATCGAGGATGTCACTGATTCACTGTACTCGGTGACGCATCATCAGTCATCCATCAGTCAGCTTTCACTCGCTCCCTGACGATGGATGACAAATACGTCTGTACGAGAACTACCAGAAATGTGCTTGGAAGACTGAGTCGTTCGTATCGTCAACGGATGAGGGCAACCGCAGTCATTGTCAGCACTCACAACGCAATTCGCTTCCAACCGAGATAATTGAGTACCTTCCCTTCGAGCTGCACGCACACCGATCGCATTCACTCCGAGGCCATGAAATGCACCACCTTTCTCGTCGCTGCCATCGCGTTGCTCGGTGTCGTCACTTCAGCCGACCAACCTGTCGTGAAAACGTCCGCGGAGGCGCTAGAGAAGGTCCAGGCATCCGCTTTACCAGCTGGCGTCACACTGACCGGAACAACGGAGAAGATCGACCCACCTGCTTCAGCTGCTGCGGTTGCCACCAAGGAAGGCGACATCCGTGAGAGCAAGCATGTTGGCAAGAACAACATGGATGAGAAAGAAGACGATGACGACAAGAAGGAGTTCTTTGGTGGAGGCCTCGGTGGTTGGGGCGGCCTCGGTGGTTGGGGCAATTGGGGCGGCTGGGGCGGCTACGGATCCTACCGCTTCGGCTTTATGTACGGCGGGATCGGCGGCTGGGCGTACCCGTTGGGTTACTGGAACACATTTGGTTCGGGTCTATTCGGTGGTGGATGCGGCCTCGGCATTCCTTTTGGCGGTCTTTATTACTGCTAAGTTATCGTCGATAGCAGCTGCACGTCACAGGAACTTGCTCGTCACGCTGGATGCTAATCGTGCAGTCAAGTCGGATCCGAGTACTTCGTGTCGCTACTTGTTGCAGCTGTTTCGTAGTTAACGATTGCGCGAAAATGATGCAAGCAACGGTGCCAAAATGATGCATGCTTCAGTGCCAAAATAATGCAAGCAACAGTGTGCCAACACCGTCACTTCTTTTTCGTTGCCACCACAATCCGCTTCTTTTTAGTTGCCACCACAATCCCTGACTGCTTGGCGTTGAGCACGATCATCCCTGACTCCTTGAAGTTGTTTTGCATGACAACAAGAGAACGAACAAATTCACTGGCGCTGCCATCGATACCACACATCGTATGCTTCACAGCATCGAAGCGCTCGGTAGCGTAGGGTCAATCCGGTGACCTGGGGCCTTGGGTCAAAGACTTGTATGCATTAACGGACTATCTTTGTTGTCATGGTCTGATAATTACAAAACCGAACCGTGACATGTGGAGTGAGCGTGCGCTGTCTTGAGTGCGATGTAAATTGAGAGGATCCTTGAAAACTTGTAAGATCGCAACGTCAGTTTTGAAGATGAAATGGACGAGTGCTGGCGTAGCTACCTCACCTTACAAGGCACAGCTCTTAAAGAGTCCTCGGATTATACGTGTAGAAACCCAGCACATGGCCTATTAACGACAAAGGTTGTGTTTGGCAATACTCACGACTTGTCTCGTTCGGACGCTGGGGAGGGATGAATGTAAGGATGAACGTACAAGATCGATCGAACATACACTACGCCAACTACACAGCATCCATGTATGGAATAATGTGCGAGGCTTTGGATCACCTGTAATGAGTCCTCATCCAAAGCACCGGCTGCCTGGACGCGACATCCTTCCTCGATGCACGCATCTGGTTCACAAAATCATGAATCTCTGGAAGAATGGATCTCTGAGAATGGATTAGTGGTTCTCGAATGGATCTCTGGAGCTATTGAATGCACACTCGGAGCATTATCCGCGTTGATAACTTGCAAAGACGAAACTCCGACATCTTTGTAGATTCGAAGGACTGGTCACCCACGGATGAATACGCAGCAGACCACCGACATGGGCGCGAATCGTGAATCGAGGATGTCACTGATTCACTGTACTCGGTGACGCATCATCAGGCATCCATCAGTTAGCTTTCACTCGCTCACTGACGATGGATGACAAATACGTATGTACGAGAACTACCAGAAATGTGCTTGGAAGACTGAGTCGTTCGTATTGGCAACGGATGAGGGCAACCGCAGTCATTGTCAGCACTCACAACGCAATTCGCTTCCAACCGAGATAATCGAGTACCTTCCGTTCGAGCTGCACGCACACCGATCGCATTCACTCCGAGGCCATGAAATGCACCACCTTTCTCGTCGCTGCCATCGCGTTGCTCGGTGTCGTCACTTCAGCCGACCAACCTGTCGTGAAAACGTCCGCGGAGGCGCTAGAGAAGGTCCAGGCATCCGCTTTACCAGCTGGCGTCACACTGACCGGAACAACGGAGAAGATCGACCCACCTGCTTCGGCTGGTGCGGTTGCCACCAAGGAAGCCAACGTCCGCGAGAGCAAGCATGTTGGCAAGAACAACATGGATGAGAAAGAAGACGATGACGACAACAAGGAGTTCTTTGGTGGAGGCCTCGGTGGTTGGGGCGGCCTCGGTGGTTGGGGCAATTGGGGCGGCTGGGGCGGCTACGGACCCTACCGCTTCGGCTTTATGTACGGCGGGATCGGCGGCTGGGCGTACCCGTTGGGCTACTGGAACACATTTGGTTCGGGTCTATTCGGTGGTGGATGCGGCCTCGGCATTCCTTTTGGCGGTCTTTATTACTGCTAAGTTATCGTCGATAGCAGCTGCACGTCACAGGAACTTGCTCGTCACGCTGGATGCTAATCGTGCAGTCAAGTCGGATCCGAGTACTTCGTGTCGCTACTTGTTGCAGCTGTTTCGTAGTTAACGATCGCACAAAAATGATGCAAGCAACGGTGCCAAAATGATGCATGCTCCAGTGCCAAAATAATGCAAGCAACAGTGTGTCAACACCGTCACTTCTTTCCAATCTGCTTCTTTTTAGTTGCCACCACAATCACTGACTGCTTGGCGTTGAGCACGATCATCCCTGACTCCTTGACGTTGTACTGCATGACAACAAGAGAATAGACAAATTCACTCGGCGCTGCCATCGATACCACACATCGTGTGCTTCATAGCATCGAAGCGCTCGGTAGCGTAGGGTCAACCCGGTGACCTGGGGCCTTGGGTCAAAGACTTGTATGCATTGACGGACTATCTTTGTTGTCATGGTCTGATAATTACAAAACCGAACCGTGACATGTGGAGTGAGCGTGCGCTATCTTGAGTGCGATGTAAATTGAGAGGATCCTTGAAAACTTGTAAGATCGCAACGTCAGTTTTGAAGATGAAATGGACGAGTGCTGGCGTAGCTACCTCACCTTACAAGGCACAGCTCTTAAAGAGGCCTCGGATTATACGTGTCGAAACCCAGCACGTCGTCTATTGACGACAAAGGTTGTGTTTGGCAATACTCAAGACTGGTCTCGTTTGGACGCTGCGGAGAGATGAAGGTAAGGATGAACGTACAAGATCGATCGAACATACACTACGCCAACTACACAGCATCCATGCATGAAATAACGTGCGAGGCTTTGGATCACCTGTAATGAGTCCTCATCCAAAGCACCGGCTGCCTAGACGCGACATCATTCCTCGATGCAAGCATCTGGTTCACAACATCATGGATCTCTAGAAGATTGGATCTCTAGAATGGATTCCTCGAATGGATCTCCGGAGCTATTGAATGCACACTCGGAGCATTATCCGCGTTGATAACTTGCAAAGACGAAACTCCGACTTCTTTGTAGATTCGAAGGACTGGTCACCCACGGATGAATACGCAGCAGACCACCGATGTGGGCGCGAATCATGAATCGCGGAAGTCACTGATTCACTGTACTTGGTGACGCATCATCAGTCATCCATCAGTTAGCTTTCACTCGCTCACTGACGATGGATGACAGATGCGTCTGTACGAGAACTACCAGAAATGTGCTTAAAACACTGATTCGTTCGATTCGTCAACGGATGAGGGCAACTGCAGTCATTGTTACATGATTATTACATCAGATACAAATTCTCTTTTTAAATAAAGTTACATAGCACCTTGAAAAAGTTTTGCTAGGCATTCACAATTTTGCAGCTTCAGTGTTTCAACGACCCGAAATACTGGGCTGAAGCGGGGATCACATCCGTTTCTGTTGACGATATATCTACTAAAGATGCTGATAAACGCACTTCGCATAAAACGCTATTTGAGATGCACTGATCTCCTATACCGGGGTTACCGACCCTGTGCTTGCGTTATCTTCGTAATGACCTAAGTCTTGACCCATGTGGGACGCAATTGCCTTCCAGGCTAGTGGTAGTCGAAACACAGTGGCTTGGTGTACTATTACACTTGATTGCGTATCCATGTCCAGGCTGCTATTCCATCGGCGATTCACTTGAAATTTTTGCAGATGATGCGACCAGTTAACAACGTATCTTCAATCTACCATTGCTACATATGGCAGTTATGTGTTCAAGATAGCTTGTTCTGAGCGGCTTCCGGTTGCGCATCTGTCGTCGATGACTTGGCTGGATCTAGCAACATTAATGGAGCAAAGGTGATGTCCAGTAATATCAGAAGACTGAAAATCAGACCTTCGTATCCAGCCACGGTATCTGTGATTAATGTAATGGAAAGTCACACAATGTCTATCCAGTTAATGATGATCTGCGCCATTAGATCGTCCCACGATACAAAGACTGACGTAGTCCCTGTGGGATAGGAATGCCACGTGCACTTCCACAAAGAAGAGTACGTATTTGATCTCTGAGCTAATTTATTTATGCAGGCAGGTACCCCTCTGTCGGATCTGTTAATATCACATGGGCGACAGTGAAAGCATGCTGGACGTATAATTTTCAGAATACTCAAAAATGCGGGAATGCAGCGTGAGCGTGACCCAGCACCTTCAACGTACTTGGATACCGCTCTCACTTGTTTGGGTATGTGTAGACTGAAATATCCTGGTCTGTCCGCATAATTTTTTGACACTCCGTCTATTGCGGAGCTACTTAGCACTCCTAAACAGAGAAAGCTTTATACTTAAAGAGTCTCTTATACACAACAAACTGAAAACGACGTACAGTCGCTCAAGCGTACAAGCTTAACAATCCCGGTTTAAAAAGGAATACGATTCACAGAATCTCACACTAGCTAGTCACTACTAGTTGAACAAGAGTAACGCCTTCACAAGGCTAATGCTCTAAACTACACACTACGCCTTGACTAGGCACTTGTGTTCAACGATTCAAAAGGGGAACTGAACTTTATTTATTCGTTAGCTACGGTAATAAAGCCATTAAACCTTGTCTGAATGACTTCTACATTGCGATCCTATGATAGAGGTCTTATCCCTTATCCCTAACCGATAATGTGCGGTATTACCGTACCTACATGGTACCAATACTGTACTTCTCAGATCCACTGACCTAGACTTAGTGTGGACACACAACATAACTAGTTCAATAACCGCCATGTAACTCCGTTTCAACCTTTCCCATCAAACTGTCGACACCCTTGTGTTAAAAAAATGCTTCTACTGCTCTTTGAGGTCTGCCAAAGCTCTGGATCCTGGCCATCGCGTTCACAACACATCTTAAAATGACTGAGTCAAATCCTTTGTCCAAAACCCTTACGAAGTTCTTTTACGAGAATATGGTGACTACAAGAGTGACATTGTCTTGTCGAGTGTCTCTGATCCACCTCGAGCTACTCCTCCGGCTCGTAAAGCCACGCGCGTCGCTCTAATCCATTCGTGGAACTCGAAGATGTACCTTCATCCCCTGTACAGCGTGCAGCCGTCGATTCTGCGCTGGGTGTGTTGCACAAATCTTGATTTATATTGGATAAATTAGATCTCAGGCGGTTGATGATTGCGGGGTCAAGCACAATGTGTAGTCACAACGTTTGCTCACAGTAATTACCGCTTTAAACGACCGAGTGTGAATGAACGCATTCGTCAGACTGCCGGGCAGTCACTCGCCACATGGGTAACGAGACTTAATGCTTCCACAGCCTTAACACTATCGGAGTGGGAGGCAACTAGAGTGAGATACTTGTGGGTCGAGCGTATGACCAACTAAGAGTACGTCGACAGACTGATTCTGCAAGCACAAGATGCGTCAGTATTTGCCTTGCGGACAATACTTGTCGTCCTTCTCCGGTGAGTCGGAGGCGGAAAATGATGTCGTCTTTACGCTTTGGTCTTACAAAGCTCGTCATCTATCAAGCCTGTGGAATCTTACAAGAGAGCAGTCCACATGCTGACGTTCGGCTCGAGCGAAGTATACTTTAATTCAGCAAACTAAAGCACCAGAGGCCAACTGCGATCATTCTATCGCACCGCTATGCTTCGGCATCTACGGACCCGCGCACCAGTGCATCTGCTGAAGCAAACCTCTCCACTCCCACACCGACTAGTGGATAGCGGTATGGGTCGACTGACCTTATAGAAGCGATCCAAAAAGTCAACGGCGTACGGACGATCCTGCCGCAGTGGCACTTCGTAATCCCATGAGTTTTTCTACTCTGGATACCCCCGCCACTGTACCAAGTACTGGTATAGACCGTCGCAATGACGTCGCTGTAGGAGACGTTCACCATGGTACTGTTGATCCGCTTGCTCGTCGACGAGAGAGGCGGTGGCAGGTGTATCACAATCCGCTTCTTTTTAGTTGCCACCACAATCCCTGACTGCTTGGCGTTGAGCACGATCATCCCTGACTCCTTGAAGTTGTTTAGCATGACAACAAGAGAACGAACAAATTCACTGGCGCTGCCATCGATACCACACATCGTATGCTTCACAGCATCGAAGCGCTCGGTAGCGTAGGGTCAATCCGGTGACCTGGGGCCTTGGGTCAAAGACTTGTATGCATTGACGGACTATCTTTGTTGTCATGGTCTGTTGATCACAAAACCGAACCAACCGAACCGTGACATGTGCAGTGAGCTTGCGCTGTCTCGAGTGCGACGTAAATTGAGAGGATCCTTGATAACATGTAAGATCGCAACGTCAGATTTGAAGATGAAATGGAAGAGTGCTGGCGGACCTCCCTCACCTTACAAGGCACAGCTCTAAAGAAGCCTCGGATTATACGTGTCGAAACCCAGCACGTGGCCTATTGACGACAAAGGTTGTGTTTGGCAATACTCACGACTGGTCTCGTTTGGACGCTGTGGAGGGATGAAGGTAAGGATGAACGTACAAGATCGATCAAACATGCACTACGCCAACTACACAGCATCCATGTATGGAATAACGTGCGAGGCTTTGGATCACCTACAATGAGTCCTCATCCAAAGCACCGGCTGCCTGGACGCGACATCCTTCCTCGATACACGCATCTGGTTCCCAAAATCATGGATCTCTGGAGAATGGATCTCTAGATTGAATTTCTCGAATGGATCTCTGGAGCTATTGAGTGTACACTCGGAGCATTATCCGCGTTGATAACTTGCAAAGACAAAACACTGACTTCTTTGTAGATTCGAAGGACTGGTCACCCACGGATGAATACGCAGCAGACCACCGACATGGGCGCGAATCGTGAATCGAGGAAGTCACTGATTCACTGTACTCGGTGACGCATCATCAGGCATCCATCGGTTAGCTTTCACTCGCTCACTGACGATGGATGACAAATACGTATGTACGAGAACTACCAGAAATGTGCTTGGAAGACTGAGTCGTTCGTATCGTCAACGGATGAGGGCAACCGCAGTCATTGTCAGCACTCACAACGCAATTCGCTTCCAAACGAGATCACTGAGTACCTTCCCTTCGAGCTGCACGCACACCGATCGCATTCACTCCGAGGCCATGAAATGCACCACCTTTCTCGTCGCTGCCATCGCGTTGCTCGGTGTCGTCACTTCAGCCGACCAACCTGTCGTGAAAACGTCCGCGGAGGCGCTAGAGAAGGTCCAGGCATCTGCTTTACCAGCTGGCGTCACACTGACCGGAACAACGGAGAAGATCGACCCACCTGCTTCAGCTGCTGCGGTTGCCACCAAGGAAGCCGACGTCCGTGAGAGCAAGCATGTTGGCAAGAACAACATGGATGAGAAAGAAGACGATGACGACAAGAAGGAGTTCTTTGGTGGAGGCCTCGGTGGTTGGGGCGGCCTCGGTGGTTGGGGCAATTGGGGCGGCTGGGGCGGCTACGGATCCTACCGCTTCGGCTTTATGTACGGCGGGATCGGCGGCTGGGCGTACCCGTTGGGTTACTGGAACACATTTGGTTCGGGTCTATTCGGTGGTGGATGCGGCCTCGGCATTCCTTTTGGCGGTCTTTATTACTGCTAAGTTATCATCGATAGCAGCTGCACGTCACAGGAACTTGCTCGTCACGCTGGATGCTAATCGTGCAGTCAAGTCGGGTCCGAGTACTTCGTGTCGCTACTTGTTGCAGCTGTTTCGTAGTTAGCGATCGCACAAAAAAACTGATCAAGCAACGGGGCCAAAATGATGCAAGCTTCAGTGCCAAAATAATGCAAGCAACAGTGTGCCAACGCCGTCACTTCTTTCCAATCTGCTTCTTTTTAGTCGCCACCACAATCCCTGACTACTTGGCGTTTAGCACGATCATCCCTGACTCCTTGACGTTGCATTGCATGACAACAAAAGAACGAACAAATTCACTGGCGCTGCCATCGATACCACACATTGTATGCTTCACAGCATCGAAGCGCTCGGTAGCGTAGGGTCAACCCGGTGACCTGGGGCCTCGGGTCAAAGACTCGTATGCATTGACGGACTATCTTTGTTGTCATGGTCTGTTGATCACAAAACCGAACCAACCGAACCGTGACATGTGGAGTGAGCGTGCGCTGTCTTGAGTGCGATGTAAATTAGAGGATCCTTGATAACATGTAAGATCGCAACGTCAGTTTTGAAGACGAAATGGACGAGTGCTGGCGTAGCTACCTCACCTTACAAGGAACAGCTCCAAAAGAGTCCTCGGTTTATACGTGTCGAAACCCAGCACGTGGCCTATTGACGACAAAGGTTGTGTTTGGCAATACTCACGACTGGTCTCGTTTGGACGCTGGGGAGGGATGAAGGTAAGGATGAACGTACAAGATCGATCGAACATACACTACGCCAACTACACAGCATCCATGTATGGAATAATGTGCGAGGCTTTGGATCACCTGCAATGAGTCCTCATCCAAAGCACCGGCTGCCTAGACGCGACATCCTTCCTCGATGCACGCATCTGGTTCCCAAAATCATGGATCTCTGGAAGAATGGATCTCTAGAATGGATTTCTCGAATGGATCTCTAGAGCTATTGATTGAGTGTACACTCGGAGCATTATCCGCGTTGATAACTTGCAAAGACGAAACTCCGACTTCTTTGTAGATTCGAAGGACTGGTCACCCACGGATGAATACGCAGCAGATCACCGATATGGGCGCGAATCATGAATCGAGGAAGTCCCTGGTTCACTGTACTCGGTGACGCATCATCAGTCATCCATCAGTTAGCTTTCACTCGCTCACTGACGATGGATGACAAACACGTCTGTACGAGAACTACCAGAAATGTGCTTGGAAGACTGAGTCGTTCGTATCGTCAACGGATGAGGGCAACCGCAGTCAATGTCAGTACTCACAACGCAATTCGCTTCCAACCGAGAGTATTGATTACCTTCCCTTCGAGCTGCACGCACATCAATCGCATTCACTCCGAGACCATGAAATGCACCACCTTTCTCGTCGCTGCCATCGCGTTGCTCGGTGTCGTCACTTCAGCCGACCAACCTGTCGTGAAAACGTCCGCGGAGGCGCTAGAGAAGGTCCAGGCATCCGCTTTACCAGCTGGCGTCACACTGACCGGAACAACGGAGAAGATCGACCCACCTGCTTCAGCTGCTGCGGTTGCCACCAAGGAAGCCGACGTCCGTGAGAGCAAGCATGTTGGCAAGAACAACATGGATGAGAAAGAAGACGATGACGACAAGAAGGAGTTCTTTGGTGGAGGCCTCGGTGGTTGGGGGCGGCCTCGGTGGTTGGGGCAATTGGGGCGGCTGGGGCGGCTACGGATCCTACCGCTTCGGCTTTATGTACGGCGGGATCGGCGGCTGGGCGTACCCGTTGGGCTACTGGAACACATTTGGTTCGGGTCTATTCGGTGGTGGATGCGGCCTCGGCATTCCTTTTGGCGGTCTTTATTACTGCTAAGTTATCGTCGATCGCAGCTGCACGTCACAGGAACTTGCTCGTCACGCTGGATGCTAATCGTGCAGTCAAGTCGGATCCGAGTACTTCGTGTCGCTACTTGTTGCAGCTGTTTCGTAGTCAGCGATCGAGCGAAAAATGATCAAGCAACGGTGCCAAAATGATGCAAGCTACAGTGCCAAAATAATGCAAGCAACAGTGTGCCAACACCGTCACTTCTTTCCAATCTGCTTCTTTTTAGTCGCCACCACAATCCCTGACTGCTTGGCGTTTAGCACGATCATCCCTGACTCCTTGACGTTGCATTGCATGACAAGAAGAGAACAGACAAATTCACTCGGCGCTGCCATCGATACCACACATCGTATGCTTCATAGCATCGAAGCGCTCGGTAGCGTAGGGTCAATCCGGTGACCTGGGGCCTTGGGTCAAAGACTTGTATGCATTGACGGTCTATCTTTGTTGTCATGGTCTGTTGATCACAAAACCGAACCAACCGAACCGTGACATGTGGAGTGAGCGTGCGCTGTCTTGAGTGCGATGTAAATTAGAGGATCCTTGATAACATGTAAGATCGCAACGTCAGATTTGAAGACGAAATGGACGGGTGCTGGCGTACCTACCTCACCTTACAAGGCACAGCTCTTAAAGAGTCCTCGGAGTATACGTGTCGAAACTCAGCACGTGGCCTATTGACGACAAAGGTTGTGTTTGGCAATACTCAAGACTGGTCTCGTTCGGACGCTGCGGAGGGATGAATGTTAGGATGAACGTACAAGATCGATCGAACATACACTACGCCAACTACACAGCATCCATGTATGGAATAACGTGCGAGGCTTTGGATCACCTACAATGGGTCCTCATCCAAAGCACCGGCTGCCTAGACGCGACATCCTTCCTCGATGCACGCATCTGGTTCACAACATCGTGGATCTCTGGAAGAATGGATCTCTAGAATGGATTTCTCGAATGGATCTCTAGAGCTATTGATTGAGTGTACACTCGGAGCATTATCCGCGTTGATAACTTGCAAAGACGAAACTCCGACTTCTTTGTAGATTCGAAGGACTGGTCACCCACGGATGAATACGCAGCAGATCACCGATATGGGCGCGAATCATGAATCGAGGAAGTCCCTGGTTCACTGTACTCGGTGACGCATCATCAGTCATCCATCAGTTAGCTTTCACTCGCTTACTGACGATGGATGACAAACACGTCTGTACGAGAACTACCAGAAATGTGCTTGGAAGACTGAGTCGTTCGTATCGTCAACGGATGAGGGCAACCGCAGTCATTGTCAGCACTCACAACGCAATTCGCTTCCAACCGAGAAAATCAAGTACCTTCCCTTCGAGCTGCACGCACACCGATCGCATTCACTCCGAGGCCATGAAATGCACCACCTTTCTCGTCGCTGCCATCGCGTTGCTCGGTGTCGTCACTTCAGCCGACCAACCTGTCGTGAAAACGTCCGCGGAGGCGCTAGAGAAGGTCCAGGCATCCGCTTTACCAGCTGGCGTCACACTGACCGGAACAACGGAGAAGATCGACCCACCTGCTTCAGCTGCTGCGGTTGCCACCAAGGAAGCCGACGTCCGTGAGAGCAAGCATGTTGGCAAGAACAACATGGATGAGAAAGAAGACGATGACGACAAGAAGGAGTTCTTTGGTGGAGGCCTCGGTGGTTGGGGGCGGCCTCGGTGGTTGGGGCAATTGGGGCGGCTGGGGCGGCTACGGATCCTACCGCTTCGGCTTTATGTACGGCGGGATCGGCGGCTGGGCGTACCCGTTGGGTTACTGGAACACATTTGGTTCGGGTCTATTCGGTGGTGGATGCAGCCTCGGCATTCCTTTTGGCGGTCTTTATTACTGCTAAGTTATCGTCGATCGCAGCTGCACGTCACAGGAACTTGCTCGTCACGCTGGATGCTAATCGTGCAGTCAAGTCGGGTCCGAGTACTTCGTGTCGCTACTTGTTGCAGCTGTTTCGTAGTTAGCGATCGCACAAAAAAACTGATCAAGCAACGGGGCCAAAATGATGAAGCTTCAGTGCCAAAATAATGCAAGCAACAGTGTGCCAACACCGTCACTTCTTTCCAATCTGCTTCTTTTTAGTCGCCACCACAATCCCTGACTGCTTGGCGTTTAGCACGATCATCCCTGACTCCTTGACGCTGCATTGCATGACAAGAAGAGAACAGACAAATTCACTCGGCGCTGCCATCGATACCACACATCGTATGCTTCATAGCATCGAAGCGCTCGGTAGCGTAGGGTCAATCCGGTGACCTGGGGCCTTGGGTCAAAGACTTGTATGCATTGACGGACTATCTTTGTTGTCATGGTCTGTTAATTACAAAACCGAACCAACCGAACCGTGACATGTGGAGTGAGCGTGCGCTGTCTTGAGTGCGATGTAAATTAGAGGATCCTTGATAACATGTAAGATCGCAACGTCAGTTTTGAAGATGAAATGGACGAGTGCTGGCGGACCTACCTCACCTTACAAGGCACAGCTCTTAAAGAGTCCTCGGAGTATACGTGTCGAAACTCAGCACGTGGCCTATTGACGACAAAGGTTGTGTTTGGCAATACTCACGACTGGTCTCGTTCGGACGCTGTGGAGGGATGAAGGTAAGGATGAACGTACAAGATCGATCGAACATACACTACGCCAACTACACAGCATCCATGTATGGAATGACGTGCGAGGCTTTGGATCACCTACAATGAGTCCTCATCCAAAGCACCGGCTGCCTAGACGCGACATCCTTCCTCGATGCACGCATCTGGTTCCCAAAATCATGGATCTCTGGAAGAATGGATCTCTAGAATGGATTTCTCGAATGGATCTCTGGAGCTATTGATTGAGTGTACACTCGGAGCATTATCCGCGTTGATAACTTGCAAAGACGAAACTCCGACTTCTTTGTAGATTCGAAGGACTGGTCACCCACGGATGCATACGCAGCAGACCACCGACATGGGCGCGAATCATGAATCGAGGAAGTCCCTGGTTCACTGTACTCGGTGACGCATCATCAGTCATCCATCAGTTAGCTTTCACTCGCTCACTGACGATGGATGACAAACACGTCTGTACGAGAACTACCAGAAATGTGCTTGGAAGACTGAGTCGTTCGTATCGTCAACGGATGAGGGCAACCGCAGTCATTGTCAGCACTCACAACGCAATTCGCTTCCAACCGAGATAACTGAGTACCTTCCCTTCGAGCTGCACGCACACCGATCGCATTCACTACGAGGCCATGAAATGCACCACCTTTCTCGTCGCTGCCATCGCGTTGCTCGGTGTCGTCACTTCAGCCGACCAACCTGTCGTGAAAACGTCCGCGGAGGCGCTAGAGAAGGTCCAGGCATCCGCTTTACCAGCTGGCGTCACACTGACCGGAACAACGGAGAAGATCGACCCACCTGCTTCAGCTGCTGCGGTTGCCACCAAGGAAGCCGACGTCCGTGAGAGCAAGCATGTTGGCAAGAACAACATGGATGAGAAAGAAGACGATGACGACAAGAAGGAGTTCTTTGGTGGAGGCCTCGGTGGTTGGGGGCGGCCTCGGTGGTTGGGGCAATTGGGGCGGCTGGGGCGGCTACGGATCCTACCGCTTCGGCTTTATGTACGGCGGGATCGGCGGCTGGGCGTACCCGTTGGGTTACTGGAACACATTTGGTTCGGGTCTATTCGGTGGTGGATGCGGCCTCGGCATTCCTTTTGGCGGTCTTTATTACTGCTAAGTTATCGTCGATCGCAGCTGCACGTCACAGGAACTTGCTCGTCACGCTGGATGCTAATCGTGCAGTCAAGTCGGATCCGAGTACTTCGTGTCGCTACTTGTTGCAGCTGTTTCGTAGTTAGCGATCGCACAAAAATGATCAAGCAACGGGGCCAAAATGATGAAGCTTCAGTGCCAAAATAATGCAAGCAACAGTGTGCCAACACCGTCACTTCTTTCCAATCTGCTTCTTTTTAGTCGCCACCACAATCCCTGACTGCTTGGCGTTTAGCACGATCATCCCTGACTCCTTGACGTTGCATTGCATGACAAGAAGAGAACGAACAAATTCACTGGCGCTGCCATCGATACCACACATCGTATGCTTCATAGCATCGAAGCGCTCGGTAGCGTAGGGTCAATCCGGTGACCTGGGGCCTTGGGTCAAAGACTTGTATGCATTGACGGACTATCTTTGTTGTCATGGTCTGTTGATCACAAAACCGAACCAACCGAACCGTGACATGTGGAGTGAGCGTGCGCTGTCTTGAGTGCGATGTAAATTAGAGGATCCTTGATAACATGTAAGATCGCAACGTCAGTTTTGAAGATGAAATGGACGAGTGCTGGCGGACCTACCTCACCTTACAAGGCACAGCTCTTAAAGAGGCCTCGGATTATACGTGTCGAAACCCAGCACGTGGCCTATTGACGACAAAGGTTGTGTTTGGCAATACTCACGACTGGTCTCGTTCGGACGCTGGGGAGGGATGAATGTAAGGATGAACGTACAAGATCGATCGAACATACACTACGCCAACTACACAGCATCCATGTATGGAATAACGTGCGAGGCTTTGGATCACCTGCAATGAGTCCTCATCCAAAGCACCGGCTGCCTAGACGCGACATCCTTCCTCGATGCACGCATCTGGTTCACAAAATCATGGATCTCTGGAAGAATGGATCTCTAGAATGGATTTCTCGAATGGATCTCTAGAGCTATTGATTGAGTGCACACTCGGAGCATTATCCGCGTTGATAACTTGCAAAGACGAAACTCCGACTTCTTTGTAGATTCGAAGGACTGGTCACCCACGGATGAATACGCAGCAGATCACCGATATGGGCGCGAATCATGAATCGAGGAAGTCCCTGGTTCACTGTACTCGGTGACGCATCATCAGTCATCCATCAGTTAGCTTTCACTCGCTCACTGACGATGGATGACAAACACGTCTGTACGAGAACTACCAGAAATGTGCTTGGAAGACTGAGTCGTTCGTATCGTCAACGGATGAGGGCAACCGCAGTCAATGTCACTACTCACAACGCAATTCGCTTCCAACCGAGAGTATTGATTACCTTCCCTTCGAGCTGCACGCACACCGATCGCATTCACTCCGAGGCCATGAAATGCACCACCTTTCTCGTCGCTGCCATCGCGTTGCTCGGTGTCGTCACTTCAGCCGACCAACCTGTCGTGAAAACGTCCGCGGAGGCGCTAGAGAAGGTCCAGGCATCCGCTTTACCAGCTGGCGTCACACTGACCGGAACAACGGAGAAGATCGACCCACCTGCTTCAGCTGCTGCGGTTGCCACCAAGGAAGCCGACGTCCGTGAGAGCAAGCATGTTGGCAAGAACAACATGGATGAGAAAGAAGACGATGACGACAAGAAGGAGTTCTTTGGTGGAGGCCTCGGTGGTTGGGGCGGCCTCGGTGGTTGGGGCAATTGGGGCGGCTGGGGCGGCTACGGATCCTACCGCTTCGGCTTTATGTACGGCGGGATCGGCGGCTGGGCGTACCCGTTGGGTTACTGGAACACATTTGGTTCGGGTCTATTCGGTGGTGGATGCGGCCTCGGCATTCCTTTTGGCGGTCTTTATTACTGCTAAGTTATCGTCGATCGCAGCTGCACGTCACAGGAACTTGCTCGTCACGCTGGATGCTAATCGTGCAGTCAAGTCGGATCCGAGTACTTCGTGTCGCTACTTGTTGCAGCTGTTTCGTAGTTAGCGATCGCACAAAAACGATCAAGCAACGGGGCCAAAATGATGCAAGCTTCAGTGCCAAAATAATGCAAGCAACAGTGTGCCAACACCGTCACTTCTTTCCAATCTGCTTCTTTTTAGTTGCCACCACAATCCCTGACTGCTTGGCGTTTAGCACGATCATCCCTGACTCCTTGACGTTGTATTGCATGACAAGAAGAGAACAAACAAATTCACTGGCGCTGCCATCGATACCACACATCGTATGCTTCATAGCATCGAAGCGCTCGGTAGCGTAGGGTCAATCCGGTGACCTGGGGCCTTGGGTCAAAGACTTGTATGCATTGACGGACTATCTTTGTTGTCATGGTCTGTTGATTACAAAACCGAACCAACCGAACCGTGACATGTGGAGTGAGCGTGCGCTGTCTTGAGTGCGATGTAAATTGAGAGGATCCTTGATAACATGTAAGATCGCAACGTCAGTTTTGAAGATGAAATGGACGAGTGCTGGCGTAGCTACCTCACCTCACAAGGCACAGCTCTTAAAGAGGTCTCGGATTATACGTGTCGGAACCCAGCACGTGGCCTATTGACGACAAAGGTTGTGTTTGGCAATACTCACGACTTGTCTCGTTTGGACGCTGGGGAGGGATGAATGTAAGGATGAACGTACAAGATCGATCGAACATACACTACGCCAACTACACAGCATCCATGTATGGAATAATGTGCGAGGCTTTGGATCACCTGCAATGAGTCCTCATCCAAAGCACCGGCTGCCTAGACGCGACATCCTTCCTCGATGCACGCATCTGGTTCCCAAAATCATGGATCTCTGGAAGAATGGATCTCTAGAATGGATCTCTCGAATGGATCTCTGGAGCTATTGAATGCACACTCGGAGCATTATCCGCGTTGATAACTTGCAAAGACGAAACTCCGACTTCTTTGTAGATTCGAAGGACTGGTCACCCACGGATGAATACGCAGCAGACCACCGATATGGGCGCGAATCATGAATCGAGGAAGTCCCTGATTCACTGTACTCGGTGACGCATCATCAGTCATCCATCAGTTAGCTTTCACTCGCTTACTGACGATGGATGACAAACACGTCTGTACGAGAGCTACCAGAAATGTGCTTGGAAGACTGAGTCGTTCGTATCGTCAACGGATGAGGGCAACCGCAGTCATTGTCAGCACTCACAACGCAATTCGCTTCCAACCGAGATAACTGAGTACCTTCCCTTCGAGCTGCACGCACACC